AGATATTCCGTAATTTTTTTGTTTAGAGAGTTTCCATTTTATAGATGTTATGTTCTTTACATCATTGGGGTTTGAGGAAGTTTTATCTTCTAGATTATATACATACTGGGTACCCAACTTTTTACCCCGTCTTTAACTACCGGTACATATAAAAATATGTTTGAAAAATGGTTTTAAAAAATAATAATGCGGTATCTCTTTAATTAAATAAATAAACCCGTTAACCAAATTTAAATATCTGTACCATTCACGAATTTTGAGATATTTGTATCTCAATTAAAAATGTACCCACCCTTTAGCCTGACACCTGTAAGTTGGATATCGGCATATGCCCTTGCTGCATTCTTTAAAAAAAAGAAGAATGACTCAATCTAATACCAAACACTGTAGTATTTATACGTAGAACGATAAATGTCGACCCACGCCCCACCAGAGGTGGCAAACACTCAAGCACATGTATAGTCCAGCTCACTATGTCGTGTTTCTGTTCAAACAAAAACCAGGGGAATACAATTTTCAAAACAAAAATACAACATAGCATCCTGGACATCTCTTGTAAATCTTTAATATACCAAGTCAAGTTTAAATCAAAGAAAACATGGCCGAAACTAAAATGACCCACTGCATGATGGAATGTTAACATATCCATGGTGTGAACACAAAATGTGCTCTTTATATAATATTGCATGCAAACATTTCAGGAATCAATAAGGCATAATGAAATGTTAACAATGCCACTGTGTAAACAAAAAATTTGTTGTGTATATAATATTGCACAAAAACATTTCAGGAATCAATAAGGCATAATGGAATGTTAACAATGCCACAGTGTAAACAAAAAATTTGCTGTGTGTATAATATTGCACACAAACATTTCAAGAATTAATAAGGCACTTTCCCACGTAAAAGATAAATGGAGTCATTCTTGCATAACATGAACAAGCTGAAGCTCTGGTGTCAATATTTTCTTTTCAGTTGCTGGAGATTTTAGTTCAAACAGCAACAAACATTGCACATCATTCTAATCAGATATCATAAGTCTTAGTGTTATATGCTTAGTGTTATATTCTTAGTGTTATGTTCTTAGTGTTATGTTCTTAGTGTTATGTTCTTAGTGTTATATTCTTAGTGTTATATTCTTAGTGTTATATTCTTAGTGTTATGTTCTTAGTGTTATGTTCTTAGTGTCATAATATTCTTAGTGTTATGTTCTTAGTGTTATATTCTTAGTGTTATATTCTTAGTGTTATATTCTTAGTGTTATATTCTTAGTGTTACGTTCTTAGTGTTATGTTCTTAGTGTTATATTCTTAATGTTATATTCTTAGTGTTATGTTCTTAGTGTTATGTTCTTAGTGTTATGTTCTTAGTGTTATGTTCTTAGTGTTATATTCTTAGTCTTATAATATTCTTAGTGTTATAATATTCTTAGTGTTATAATATTCTTAGTGTTATATTCTTAGTGTTATATTCTTAGTGTTATAATATTCTTAGTGTTATAATATTCTTAGTGTTATAATATTCTTAGTGTTATAATATTCTTAGTGTTATAATATTCTTAGTGTTATAATATTCTTAGTGTTATAATATTCTTAGTGTTATAATATTCTTAGTGTTATATTCTTAGTGTTATATTCTTAGTGTTATATTCTTACTGTTATATTCTTAGTGTTATAATATTCTTAGTGTTATAATATTCTTAGTGTTATAATATTCTTAGTGTTATAATATTCTTAGTGTTATAATATTCTTAGTGTTATATTCTTAGTGTTATGTTCTTAGTGTTATAATATTCTTAGTGTTATAATATTCTTAGTGTTATAATATTCTTAGTGTTATAATATTCTTAGTGTTATATTTTTAGTGTTATATTCTTACTGTTAAAGCAGAGACAGGCCAGCTTGGCATTGCATCAAAATTTTTTAAAGAAAACAGTAGAAAACTAGAAGTGTACCAAATTAAATTGTAGGACTGATTTTCTAGATAATTCAAAAAAATATTATCATAATTGGGAAATGTCATTGCCAGGTTCATAAAGAACCGCTGATGAGATGAAGATATGAGTAAGTCACTTCTCTAGTGACACAGAGAGAGAGAGAGAGAGAGAGAGAGAGAGAGAGAGAGAGAGTGAGAGATAGAGATGGAAAGAGAGAATCTTGAGAGAAATCAAATTTACTCCAAAAATCTGGGAGTGAGGGCTGCCTCTTTTTAAATTTCTCTAAGCTGCGATACAAAAATGCTTTTAATTAACACCAAATATTGTTGCTATAACTATAAAAATGTAAATAAAATACTTTTGAAAAAAAAACACACAAAAAGAAACCAACAACCTCATGGTCCATTTTGAGAAAAACTTAAGAAATGCTACAATACATAAAACAATACACTAATACTAATACAATTTAATTAATCACATGGCAGCAAACCTTGGAGCACTAGTAGCATGCCTGCCTCACAACCAGGATGTTGTGAATGGTAGCAAATGCTGCCTCACGACCAGGATGTTGTGAATGTTAGCAAAGGCTGCCTCACAACCAGGATGTTGTGGATGGTAGCCTGCCTGCCTCACAACCAGGATGTTGTGAATGGTAACAACGGCTGCCTCACAACCAGGATGTTGTGAATGGTAGCAAAGGCTGCCTCGCGACCTCCTACAACACTTACTTAGCAAAGGCTGCCTCACAACCAGGATGTTGTGGATGGTAGCCTGCCTGCCTCACAACCAGGATGTTGTGAATGGTAACAAAGGCTGCCTCACAACCAGGATGTTGTGAATGGTAGCAAAGGCTGCCTCACGATCAGGATGTTGTGAATGGTAGCAAAGGCTGCCTCACAACCAGGATGTTGTGGACGGTAGCATGGCTGCCTCACAACCAGGATGTTGTGGATGGTAGCGTGGCTGCCTCGCAACCAGGATGTTGTGAATGGTAGCAAAGGCTGCCTCATAACCAGGATGTTGTGGGCCAACAATACTGTGAAGTTAACTTTTTTGCCCAGCAAAGAAGAAATTCTTGGAGAGGAGGCAAACCCTGAGTGAAATATCTCAACCCCCAGAGATGGAACACAGCACACAACTTGGCGTGGGTTAAAAAAAAAAAAGTGTCAAATGAAGAAACGAAATTAAATATTGACAAATACTTATCAAGCAATGGCATACTTAATACTGACTTTTGTGTTAATGGAATTTTAAAAAAAAAAGGCCTGGGTGGTTTAAAAATCTCAATTATACGTGCCTTAAAAAAATTTGTCATTGTAAGAACAGTTCTTTCTACCTTCCTAGTTATTTAAATGCAATATTTTTTGGGTGAAAGATGTGAACTTTGAAATAGAATAGCTTTGTGCGATTATGAACGTAATGTAATAATTTTATGTTATTCAAATATCAATTTAACCTTCTTCAGACGGAGCATTTTTAGACTGTCTTTAGACAGAGAGCCATTTTAGACTGTCTTTAGACAGAGAGCATTTTTAGACTGTCTTTAGACAGAGAGCATTTTTAGACTGTCTTTAGACAGAGAGCCATTTTCACAAACCGTGCAATTGCTTCACAAATAATTTTTTTTACAAAATAAACTGATTATTTTACAAACACAAAACTATGATAGGGAATTGTATGAAGCAGTATGATCGTTATGAATCAAACTGAAATCTCAACATCTATGCAAATGATATAATTTATGCAAATGATATTTTTTATGCAATCGCATAATTTATAGATGCAATTTTTACACTTAGAATCAACATGTCTTACTTGCAGAATTTAAAAAAAATTTGATTGTTCAAGCCCAAATAGGTCCTAAAAAATAATTGAATGAGATTCAATGTTAAACACTCCATAAAATATTTCAAAGTCACATATTTTTTTTAATGATACAAATTTATATAAAATGATAGAAAACCATAAACTATCAATGGAGACGGCCGTTGAAATAGAATGTAAGCAAGAATTGCGAGGGGATCAATCTGATTAGCTGGTACAAAGACTGATCTTTGTCACCATTGGACTCTGGGCCATTAGATGATTAGCTGGTACAGAGACTGATCTTTGTCACCATTTGACTCTGGGCTAATAGATAGGCCCAGCCATTTAAAGAGGGTTAAGAAAACTATGTGTGAATTCATTAATCACTTTAACAATAAGACATTTTCTCATTTGATTACAGATAAAACTTACACCTTGAACAAACTGACTAAATGAAGTAGTGCAAATAGACAGGTGTAAATACAATAGCTTTCTTAGACATGTGTACATAGCACAGCTTTCTTAGACAGGTGTACACACCATAACTTTCATAGACAGGTGTAAATACAATAGCTTTCTTAGACATGTGTACATACCACAGATTTCTTAGACAGGTATAAATACCAAAACTTTCTTAGACAGGTGTTCATACCATAGCTTTCTTAGACACATGTACACACCATAACTTTCAGAGACAGGTGTAGGTTACATACCATAGCTTTCTTAGACACATCTATATACCATAACTTTCAGAGACAAGTATACATACCATAGCTTTCTTAGACACATGTACATACCATAAATTTCAGAGACAGGTGTACATACCATAGCTTTCTTAGACCGATGTACACACCATAACTTTCAGAGACCATAGCTTTCATATTTCATTGAGGTGATTAAAAACTTGAGTTTGAAATTAATGAAATCTGTATAAGAACACATTATATACCTGAGGGCAAACCTTAAATAGAGAGCAAAATAAAGTATATCAACAACATGTTACCTTATTTGTGCTGTCTCTATTAAAGCATTAATCTGATTTTTTAAACATACTTACTTACTTTTAACTGTTGAGTATGATGTTGTGCATTTGTGTGATCTTAACCCACTAGTTTAGGAGGGGGGGGGGTATGGATTGGGAGAGTTTTTTTGAGGGAGTGGGCATCAAACATATTGGCCCACACAGGGTGGCACTTAGCCTGGTCGCCCCCACTGTCTTAGCCATAAGATATTTCCTGGTAAACAGTGATGTGAATATTCACAATGAACACAGTGTCCCTGAGGATCCAGGAGGGCAGACACAATCGATATGACCTGTGACCCCCTGGATACACGCCCCTCCATTGCATGGGTTAGGGGTGCATCCAGTGGCCGTGACGCCTTCACAAAGCGGACCAGTGAACCCTTCCAGACAGTCGCAGATGAAGTCGCCGTTGCCTTGTGGCAGGCACACACCACCGTTCTGACACAGGAACCCAGGCTGGAAACAGGACAGGTCTCCTATAGCGAACTGGCAGAACAGACCCTCATAGCCTTCGTTGCAGCGGCAAAAAGCACCCAGCTGGTCAAGGTCGCAATCACCCCGCCCCGGGCAAGGCGAAGGTTCACATGACCGCACAACCTGCTGGCAAAACTGACCAGTGAAGGGGGGAACACACACACACTCGTAGCCTCTCTCGTTAACGACGGCCGTGGACTTGGTCGAGTTGCAGAAACCTCTGTTCTGGCAAGGGCTGCTGGCACAAACGTCGACAGGTACCTGGCACAGGCCGCCCGTGTAGTGAGGTGAGCAGGTGCAGGTGAAGTTTTGAGAATCTACATCGTGGCAGGTGCCAGCATTTAAACAAGGTGAGCTGTCACAAGGCTGTATTGCTGATTCACAGTGATCACCTGGGATATAAAAATGAAAGATATTTGATTTGATGTATAAATGAAGGAATCAGGAGTTAACTAGAAAGATCACTTGTACTTTTGTTGAATCCCTTATTTACGTGGCTTTTGTTCATGGCTGGCTGGCAAAAATCTTTGGACGGCTAATTGACCCACCTTCACGTCAAGCTGAAACTTGACAGAATCTTTACAGATGACAACACATTCTGTCAAATTTTCAACCCTAAGCCCTCTAAAATCAGTTTTTTCTAATTTTATAGGGGAAGATGAAGCAAACCTGATGACCCTGATTCCATGGAATAAAATTCCAGATAATTGCACTAAATGAGATTATTTTAAAAAAAAAATATTGCAAGTGCGTTGGTGCGTAATATTTTCTTTTGTATTTCTGAAATAGTTGGTGTAATAAATCAGTAGTGTAAAAAGCTGGTGGGACATAGAATACTAATATAAAATAAAGGATTTGCATATAAAGGATTTATATGAAAAACTTTGTTATTAGGGGTTAATTGATCAGGGATGCTTATAAAACAAGGTTGGTTTGCTTACATTGCAATGATTTAGTTGTAAAATGGTTTCTTTTCTTTTTTTTTTGCTTTGATTCAAATCGCTATGAGAAGATGATGATGGGTGGAAGAACATTTTATAAAATAAACAAATAATCGGACACAATTTTTTTTCTCAATTCAGACTGCATTGTGGGGTGGGCCTGAAGATTTGTAATTTCAACCTACCTCCAGCGGCTCATGGTGAAGAATATAAAAACTAATACTTTAGCATTGAAAGTGAATAGACGCCCCACATAAAAATCAGGACAGAGTCTAAAACAGTTGTGCCACATGGAGAATAATTGTGGAACTGCAGACAAATCGGGACATTTTTGATTCAACATATTATCCTTGTCTAGTCTGTTTAAAAAATTCCAAGCATAAAAAAAAAAAAAATCAGAGAATAATTTCAAGGTGTATTTGATATCCCTTATATTGTTTTATTCTTACTTAAAAAATTGTTATTATTATCACCTTTTATTTAAATCATCATTACCTGAGAAAATTTCCACCATTCGAAACTATTATTAAGTTGTTATAAAAAAAAGCAACACTTAGAGAGAATGCCAAATGACAGAGGGGTGAAGAGGGTGCATCACCTAAACCCCAGAGCAAAACGGCTCAAAAGCAGACCTAGGCTTAGACGGATGGATGATGAGGGAAAAGATTTACAACATTTTGGAATCCAGTCATGGAATTAGAAAAGCATTAGTTAGGTCTGAGTGGAAGGAAGTGGTGAGGCAGGCCAAAGCCCTACATGGGCTGGAGCGCCACAGGGATGGATGGTAGGTCTGAGTGGAAGGAAGTGGTGAGGCAGGCCAAAGCCCTACATAGGCTGGAGCGCCACAGGGATGGATGGTAGGTCTGAGTGGAAGAAAGTGGTGAGGCAGGCCAAAGACCTGCATGGGCTGTAGCGCCACAGGGATGGATATCAAACAAAGCAACACATCAAGATTGCTCACATCCTTGGCATCAGTTGATTCAAGGCATAACTAATAGGGGTGTCACAACTCTTACCTTTAAATCCACTAGCACAGTGGCAGGTGGATCTATTCCCCTCATTGAAACAGGTGCCATTGTTCATGCAGGGCTGGAAAAAACATGGTGGCAGCTCTGTTTCGCAAACAGTTCCAGTGAAGTTGCTGGCACAAGTGCAGAAGTAAGATGATCCACTGTTTGTGCAGTTGGCTCCATTCTGGCATGGCAGTGACTGGCAGGCATCGGAGGTGGTCTCACAGTAGGGTCCTGTGTTTTGGCAGAGTCAATCATAGATGTAACCAAATGGAAAATTTCTTGAGTTGCATAAGGATTTAATATTATCAAAATACATCATTCTCTATGTAATATGTCACTGATACTAACAGATGGTGCTGATTTCACTAAAAAAAATTCCAGATAACTGCACTAAATGAGACTCCTAAAAATACAGCAAGCGCATTTGGTGCGTAATATTTTCTTTTATTTTATGGAAATAGTCTCAATTTAAATATAGTGTTATAAATCTGCAGTATAAAAGGGGGTGGGACATCATTAAAATATTAATATAGTTCAGGGGTGTGAAAAAAGAGTGTGTTGTTGCGAACGTTGGAAAAAAAGGGGGAGGGGAAACAATAATTGGGATTCTTATAAAGTGTGTTACTTGAAGACATGTTTCACCTATTACTTTAGTAGATGGGCAGTTCATGTATTGTGGCTGCCATTGTTTGGCTGGCTTCAGCCAGTAATGATATGATTTCGATGAACACAATACTTTTCAATTTTCAAATCAATTCTTGCAAGCAAATAAATTAGTTTTTTTTAAAAAAAGCTGTCCATATTAAGTAAAATAACATCACTAGTAAACCCCCCCCCCCCCCCCTTTCTCCTGCCTTCTAATTTAATCAAATGCCGCCTGTTAATCTTAGAATGTGTATTAATGACCTTCCTAAACATACCTGAAAAACCATCCTCACAATGGCAGACAACTGGACCATTATCTGTAGCTGCACATGTGCCGTGGACGCAGGTCTGAGAGTTACATGTGTAGTTGGGTAACTGTGTGTCACACAGATGTCCCGTGTAGCCTGGAGAACATTGGCACGTGAAGCTCTGGTCAATGGTGTTGGTGCATGTCCCGTGGACGCAGGGAGAGCTGGCGCAAGGCAGCTTGGTGCCACAAGAGCTGCCGTTGAAGTTGACTGGACAAAGACAGAGGTATCCTGCTTGCTTATTGTAGCAGGTGCCATTATTTAAACAAGGGGAGCTTCCACAGGGGACGGGGATCTCACAGAGTTTCCCCACAGATGTAGAAGGGCAAATGCAGATGACATCATCACCCGATTCCTCACAGATTCCACTGTTGTCGCAAGGGGAGTTAACGCAGTTGAAAATTGGGATTTCACAGTGATCCCCCTTGAAATTACTTGGGCACGAGCATGAATAGCTTTCTTGGAAATTGCTGCAGGTGCCCCCATTCAGACAAGGTGAGCTGATGCAGGGTCTAACTGACTCACATCTGAAGCCGTAGTATTGTCCAGAACACAGGCACTCATAGAGCAACCCTCTGTCCACACAACTACCACCATTGAGACACGGAGAGCTAGAGCAAGGAAGGTATGTCTCACAGTTGTTCCCTGAGAATGACAGGGGGCATTGACAAATGTAAGAAACATTCTTGTTCAAGCAGACACCGCCATTGAGGCATGGAGAGGAAGTGCATGGTAGGATCGTCTCACAATCATTGCCCGTGAGGCCAGCTCGGCAGATACATTCGTAGGTGCTGTTGTTGACATTCAAGCAGGCAGAGTTGTACCGGCAAGGGCTGCTGGTACAAGGGAGGTAGGTCTCACACTTTGACCCGGTGAATCCTAGGGGGCAAGCACATTTAAAAGTGGGCCACATCTCTATGCAGTTGCCTCCATTAAGGCAGATGTCTGTAGAGCAGGCCAACAATCTCTCACAGTGCGCCCCGCCGTATCCACCCTGACATCTGCAGGTGTAGTTGGTGCCGTTGTTCAAGCACAGGCCGCCATTCAAGCAGGGCTCAGAGTAGCAGGGGAGATTACTTTCACAGTAGGTTCCACCATAGCCGTTGATGCAGTTACAGTGAAAACTGACGGGACTGATGTCCAGGCAGACGCCTCCGTTAAGACAAGTCTGCACAGCACAAGGGTAAGGCACTTCACATCTCAATCCCATGAAACTTTTCAGACATTCGCAGCGGAGCTCACCGCTTCCAGCTGCAGGCTTACAAACCCCACCGTTCAAACATGGGTCCGCCAAACAGGTCACAGTCTCACAGTAGGTCCCAGTGTATCCAGGAACGCACACACACCTAGGAGATGTACCATTGACAAAACATGTAGCGTTGTTGAGGCAAGGGTTGCTGCCGCAAGGGTCGGGCACCTCACAGTTCTGGCCAGAGAAAACCTGAGGGCATGTGCACACGTAACTGCCATTTTTTTCTGAACAAATCCCCCCGTTCTTGCACGGTGAAGAGGAGCATGGTGGGGCCTTCTGCTCACATTTAATTCCTGTTGACGAATACAGTACTGATTAATTTCTACAACGAACCTGAAATGACATACTTCTTTCTTTAAAATTTCTTAACATGTTCTCATAGCGTAATTTAAAAAAAATTTTTTTAAAGAAACATGATACCACAAGCTATGGCAAAATATATACCTAAATTTATTGGAACAGTCCTGAGATTAAATAGAAATTAAAATAGGTCTAGAATGATGCTTTCCAAAAAAGCTTTTTTTTTTCAAATAAAAATATTAAAACACATTCATTACTGAAATATAACATTAAACTTTGGCATAGACTGAGTAATATCAAACAGTCTTCCATTATCCATGGAACACTATCACATGCAAAACACAAAGTACTTCATTGTGTGCTTCCATTGTCCTATCTCACATAATCCAAGCTTTCATTTTGTCTAGCTTGGTTACAGAGTTAAGTCCCTTAGCCCCTTTCCCTCTTATTTCTACATTTTGCCATGCTCATCCCCCCCTGATGAAGGCCTGAAGCAGACTCATTCAATTCTTGTGATTTGTCTCAACCCAAACTGCAACATACCTTCTGCTTTATATAAACATTTTTTTGTACAGTCTGATTTCCAACCCTACCCACCCCCCAAAATCTTTAAACAAGTAGAAAATATTAAAAGAAGACCTGACCTGTGTATCCATCTGTACAGTAACATTCATACTGGCCGAGTGGTAAGCTGCCTGAGCATATGGGGTTCCCTTGTCTGCAACAGTAGCCGTCATGCAAACATGGGTTAGGAACACAGGGATCTATGACGGTCTCACAGTTTGAGCCAGAGTAAAATGGGCTGCACTGACATGTGTAGGAGTCGATGCCATCTTTGCAGATGCCTGGCATAGAAAATAGTAAATGTCACAGAGAATCTGAGTATGTGAAACACTAATGGGAGACAAGTAATTATGGTTAATATTTCTTGTATAATATACAGAGTTCTGGGACTTGGGAGGAAATTGCCAACCAGAATTTTGGTTGAAAAAAACGGAGTTTGTTTTGGAATGGAGAGAAGAATGGTGGAAGGAACAGAGACCGTTGACATTGTATCAAGATTTGTTGATGACATTACCAAGTAAAAGTAAAAGAAGATTATGTTATGCAGAAGCTTAATAGGAATTGAAATTCATGTCATATAATTCCAAGCATCTTCATGTTTTGTGAAATGTATTCATTATCGTGAAGGTGGATATTAAAAAATCAGTCACTGTTTGAACCCACATCGTCTCGGGTATTATTTATAAGGAAATATCAGTGACCAGGTGTTTTTAGATTAATTGAAACTGAAGAAAAGACACCCTGAGAAGCTTTTTCTCTAATCATTGCATTTGTTAAAAAAAACATTGATATGAAAACATTATTGAAATTTAAAAACTTTTAAACACTGATTAATGAAATATTAGATCTTTATTAAACTTAATTAAACAATTCTTTTTCAAAATGAAGAAATTAGAAATCAAGCAAAACTTTGGGTTACTGTGAATTTTAATTTCATCTTGCAGTATTTACAGCTGACTCAATGTCCTTAACTGCGATTAATATGGCAGTGATTTCTTTGCTCACCTTTATCACCGCAAGGGCTCCCTGCACAGTTATCAATGTCAGTCTCACAAAGCTGCCCTGTGTAGCCTTCCTGGCAAAAACAAGTCTGATTTCCTATTGCAGATTCTACACATACTCCAAAATTCTGGCATGGATTTTCTGTTTAGTACAGTAAATAACCACTTAATGTTTATAATTAGCAATAAATGTTAAAATGCACTAAAATATTAAATTTTTAATGATAATTTTTCCATTTTATGTCTGCAAAGTGGATTAGCTTGATCCCCGAGCCCACTAAGAATCTTATGGTAAAAACAGAGATTGTAGCTATGACCATTCTTAGAAAATAGCAATCTCACCAATTTCCTTTTTTTTTCTTCTAAAGAAATGATTCAAACTTAATCATCCGCAACAAATAATAATTTAAAATAACTTGATAAAATAGGCTTACAGATCATTATTTTGTTAGCATTAAGCAATACCACTATACATAACATATCTAGCATTTAGCCTTACCACTAGAAATAACATGTTTAGTTTTTCAGCAACACCACTGTATATAAAACATCTGTCATTTTGTGACAGGCAAAATAAAATGCTACCTTGACAAAGTTCACTCCTCTCACAATATTTGCCCACCCTGCGATCTGGGCACACACATGTGAAACTGTTGAGTCCATCAACACAGGTGCCACCATACAAACAAGGCTGAGGATTACACTCGTCTGTGTTAACTTCACACTGTAGACCTGTCAGTAAATAAGTGGACAGACATGCATAAAGGAAGTAGAAGAAAGAGCAGGAGAAATAAAAAAAATTTGAAGTTATTTTATTTATATAAACGTTTTTAAATTTCTTGGTTCTTTTCTATGCAACTAAATTCATTTTTAAAAGATGAAATGAAATTACAAAAATAAAATTTCATTTTAAAGCTATGATAAAAAAAATAAATGAATGTAATGATTAGGATTGTGATAACACTTTGCCATTTGTGCCATTTCTAAATGAAAAATATCAATTAAAAAAAAAAAAAATTCAGTTAATTATGACATTGCCTGAAATTATTGTTTTATAACACAGTCCAGTAATGGGCTTACATTGACAAGAGAATTTACCTGTAAAACCGAGCGGGCACCGACATTCAAAGGAAGCTCCTTTGTTTATGCACTGACCACCATTTTGACACACCACACCAGAACATCCATCCATCAACACGTTACACAGTGATCCAGTCCACCCAGTTGTACAAACACATGTGAAACCACCATTGGTGTCCTGCTCAAATGTAAGTGATGGCTTTAACAAATGAATTATACAGACACATGAGAAACCACCATTGGTGTCCTGCTCAAATGTAAGTGATGGCTTTAACAAATGAATTATACAGACACATTTGAAACCACCATTGGTGTCCTGCTCAAATGTAAGAGATGGCTTTAACAAATGAATTATACAGACACATGTGAAACCACCATTGGTGTCCTGCTCAAATGTAAGTGAAGGCTTCAACAAATGAATTATACAGACACATGTGAAACCACCATTGGTGTCCTGCTCAAATGTAAGTGATGGCTTTAACAAATGAATTATAAACAAGAGAAATGTTTATATCTTTACAGTGCAGAAGATAGAGAGTAACCAAGTTTGAACATGCATCCTACAAATAGTGTCTTTTACAAATCAAACAGCATCTCAAATGGTTGACATTCAAACCAGATTCCCCACCTACAAAACAACAGATTTTATAATCTTCATGCAATGCAGATAAAATTTTAACAATTCTCTAAATTCAAACCAATTTTTTTTTTATCATTGTTTAGGTTTTTTTCTAATGTTCAGTAGTTTTTGTATTTAAAAACTTGAATTGCGGCACCTTCTTGGTAAAAAAAATAATCAAGAAGTCTTTAGGCGTTCATATATTTGCGTTCATTTGCTTTAAATTAAAACAAAATATTTTCAATATAAAACCAATGACATACAGTGCATGTTCCTCCATTTAAACAAGGTTGGCTGACACAGGCTGATAAAATTGTATCGCAGTTGTCTCCGCTGTAACCTATAAAAAAAATGCATCTAAATAATTGAAACGATTCCACTGACGCATGTGAAACCACCAACTATTTTACTTAGGTAACTTAAACATTTAAAACTGGCACAAATTAAAAATATGCATCGCTCAAATGTAGTTTCTGCTTATAGATTATATATTTTTATTTGAAAAAATAAAAAAGCAAGCATATTATCTTTAGTTTAAAAATTATAAGAAAAAAGTTTTGTGACAAAAAAATGTATATTTTTAACTCTTTACCTAATTCTGAAAAATCCATTTTTCACATTTAGGACCCAGGCAGTTTTTTCTATATATTTTATGAAAATGACTGTGATGTAGTGAGTATATTTGGGTTCACTCTGAAACAGTTCTTTACTTTTTTTTTTTAACAACCAAAATACTTTCTTATATTCTTACCAGGTAAACAGTTACAGTAATAACTTGTGCCTCTTCCAGGTGTACATGATCCATGTGAGCATGGATTTGGCTCACACAATGTAAAATTTACTGAAAAGGATTTAATTGAATTAAAATACATTTTTAAAAAAATCAATGATTATAACTTGCCGATATAACAAGCACAGGCTAATTTATATTCCATTTTTTATACTGATATCTCTCCTTTTCCAGCTGATGATTTGAAAATAACATCTTGAGTTTTTTTTTTTAAAAGTGCACAAGAGGTAGGATTTTTTAAAAATACACCATTGAGTAAGCCTCTCCTTTGAAATTCTTCAACCAGATTTAAGTTTTCTAAGTTATACACAAGATGCTATCATGAAATTTTAAAACAAAAAAAATCATATGATGAAGTTTTTAAAGACAGTGTAAATCTTTCACCTGGTGGTAAATTGGTTATCAGGCTCTCTTCACACCACTGACCAGTATAATTTGGTTGACACTGACATATTGTATAAGCAACCGTTATGTTGGGCTGTGCAGAGAACGCATGGCACACACCACTGTTTAAACATGGATTTGGCTGGCATGGATTATCTGGCAAGAAGAGAATACGAAATTGTAAAATAAGATTAAAAATGAACATAACATGTTGGTAAGAATAATTAAACAACCATTAGAAACAAAGCTTTTCATATAAATACTTTACATGCATTTTTGTTTCCATTTATGTAATTTTACGTCATTTATCATTATTTAGTATGGGAATTTTTTTTTATCAAACTTAATGCATGTAGAACCTAATAAACTAAAGATATATTTAAACCCAAAGACGAATAAAAAAGACTTAGCAATAGACTCATAATTAATCCCCCCACCAAAACACACACCCATTAATCAAATCATATTTCATTTATCTTCCCCTTGAAAAACAAGAGAAGTTAATTTTTGGGGGTTGGGAGTGAGGCTGAAAATTGAAAGAATGTGTTGTCGTTGGCAATGAGTTTATGTGCTAAGTTTTAGGAAGTGGGTCATTTAGCCATCCGCAGATTTTGCCACGAACACATGAAAAAAGGTGAGGTCAATATAAAGGATTTAAACAGAAATTATATGAGACATTTAATTATTTTTTCCAAAAGACCACTTATAATGTAAAAGATTATGTACATTTAATATAATTTAAAACAGTTGTATTTTAGTATCCATCAGATGACTAATGAAGTTGTTATATATTAAAATAGTAATTGAATTAGAATTGTGATGAAATTTAGCAGTGAAAGGGAATCAAATTGAAAAAAAAAGCAGTTGGACATATATATCTCTAAACAAACCATTTCCACATGTGGAATTTGTTTCATCTAGCCCAGTTGAACAGTCTGCAAAGCCATCACAGATCCATGATTTAGGAACACAATTTGCAGGATTATTTCTATCTCCACAAAAAACTTGAACAAAATCAAACAAGTCTATGCAATACTCTGTATAGGCTGAAATTCATGCAGAAAAATTATTATGAGATGCATTGCTTGATAAATAAATATGCAGTTAACTCACTTGAACAACATGAGATAATTCATTTAAGTCATTTTTTAATCTCTTGGTCCCTTTGTTAGTTAAATTATGTACCAACACTTACAACGCTACCTAGAGTATTTAGTTAAATTATATACCAATACTTGCAACGCTACCTTGAATAGTTAGTTAAATTATATACCAACACATGCAACACTACCTTGAATATTCACACCTATGCGTTCCCTAAGTCAACCCCCGCCACCCCCTCCCCCCTTCCTCTCTCAGTTCATACATAATATAATTATGGATGGTCCCCAATCGATTGTATTTCTCATCCACTGCCAGATGTAGAAATGATATTAAAAAAACAACCAAAAATGTTGGTGGTGGGAGTTTTTTTTATTGTAAATACTTCATTTACAGGTATGTATGTTTTCAACTCGGTCTGTAAAAATCTCAGTTCTGTCAGGTCTTAGTGTTGCCTACAATCATAAAACACATCTCAAAATGGTACATTGTATCCCAAAATCGTAAGTGTGACCAGGTTCGATCTATGAATGGCCCATTTTAAGCCTATTTATTTTTAGCTCCAACTTTAACTAAACCCAATTAAAATTAAATTAAAAAAAAAAATATTTGTTTACTCACGTTTTATTGTGGTATTATTGTAACTCTGACTGTCAGAAACCACAACATTGAATATATATATAAGTATTAGGCCTAGAGAGTGAATCCATGCTGAATATGGTTCTCTTTTTGTTATCCTAATGAAGGACATATTTATAAATGACAATGATCTTGGTCTTGGTTTCAATCATATAGGAATATAGTATAGGCCTACTATAATTTATAATATATACAAAACCATCCCCAATCCATTGATTGTGATTCACAATTCAGATTCAGTTATTGTGACAGTCTGCAGGAAGCAGCTAGAGCAAAAAAGGAGCATTAGCCTGAGGCCAAGATTAATATTTTACTCTACTTTATTGAACACTAAAACTAAATAGTCAGTTATAAGTTAACACAATTTTCACATTTTGATTCAATTGATTGACTGAGTCACTGAGTCAGACTGAATGACTTTGGTTAACGAAATATTAAGTAAACGATTGTCAGATTGTAGATTATATGTAGACAAAAACATATTTTCATTGCTTTGTAATTCCGAGTTACAAATGACACAAACTTGATGAACATCTTTCCTCATGAGACAATCAAGATACGTTTCAATGATTCAGATAAATCCATACATTTCAGTGCAGTCTGAATGTATGTTTATTTAGTAACAGGATACGAGGTATACGTTAATACCGAATGCATGATGTATCATGTGCGAAATTCGAGATGAGTATTATTCGTCATGTGTTGGATCACACAATAATTGATACAATTTTTTTTTACAACATTAATACAAAAATTAACATAATCTACGCTCAAAATAAATAATCTGAATTTAGCTCAGAGGTACTAGGAATTTTTTTTTTTTTTTAGATTGCAATATAATTGAATATTAAACTGCAATTTAAACTCTCAAAACTTTTTTTGGATGTTCATAAATGTACTGTATGATAAAGGTAAGGTATTATGTTTTTCAAATCCCGACCATGTGGTATACCATTTATTTTCTTCAAAAAAAAAATGTATAGGTATGGCTATATACTATATATATTTTATATATAGGCATATACATTATTTTGAGAACCATACCGGTAGAAACACAGCATGTATTTAAAAAAATATTATAAGACCTCGGCCTCGTTATAATTTATTGGTCTAATTGGTGCTCATCCCCAGAAAAAAAAAGAGAAAAACAAAATATTTTCACATTTTAATGTCACAAGATATTTTATTCCGTTTTTTTCTAAAAATAATGTTAGATTTCGTTTAGGTCTACTATTACTCTATTACTATAACTATTCTAAATTTTCTACACTAATGCAGCATAGTTAAATCTAATAAGTTAATAAGTAAAATAACTCGTGTTTGTGATGATGTTTACAGTTAAAGTTTATTGAACATAATTTTGGACTGCTAAAAGTTAAATTAAAAAGGCATGTAGTTTAGCACTGCGGTACTTGAAAATTGTCATATTCATATTGACTGGACTACATTTACATTTACATTCTAGTCTACATAACATTACATCGTTACATTTACATTTACATTGTATAGAATAGACTTAGACAGGTGTAAATATTATATTGTAGTTATTGCAGAGGTCTGGACATGACCAGCTTTGGCTGGAAGCGAAAAGTTGGAGGAAATGTTTGTAAATCAAAAGCCTCTGCCTTCTCATCAGAAGCTAAGGATGATCACGATAAGACAGCACATGATGATATAGACTGGCTAACTTCAACACCTAAAAAAAGGTTTATATCTCTGGAAGATGCTGTCGGCAAAAGTGATAGGCTCAAAGCAGAAGGTGCCATGTTAGCTGAGGCAGACAGGTAGTTAATTTTTTTTTTCACAAAATACCCCCTCAAATTTTTATTCATAAATTAATAATTCAAGTGTCTGCAACTTCAACTACAAAATAGGGCCTTTGACGCCCTTTTTGCATTAGAAAAAACAACAGTAGGCCCTACTACTACTAGTATTACTAAAAAAACTAAAGTAAATAAACTATTCCATTCAGTTTTCTAGATCTAGAAGGCCTAATAATTCATAATAATAATAGTAATAGTAATAGTGTAATAATATCTTCTAGTCTAATTTAATATTTTCATATCAGAGATCAGATTATAATTTAAAATTGGAAAGGGGGGGGGGGAGGGATCTGTCTATACTTAAGTTCCAGTGTTTCCTAAAGCCTTGGTCGCGACCCTTTGCCGGGCCATGAAAGCAAAGTTACTGGATTGCCGAAAGAAGACAAAAATAAAGAAAAAACAGTTACAGGGTCATGAAAGGAAAAGATTCTGGAAACACTGGTATAGTCTTTTTCTAAAGAAGTATGAATAGAGATGTTTGCCAATTTTACAGAAATATTTATTTTACCTACTCATCTAGTATAAGAGAGTAGTCAGGTAGTATAATTGAATAAATGTTTTTGCCTTTACTAAGTCTATAGTCAGTCTATAGCAAACTATTACTTAAAAAATTAACAATAAGGGATGTTTGCTTTAATTTATTAAACATGTGTCCAGAACCCCTTAGTCTAACCAAGCTCATTATAAAGTGAAAAGATACTTTTAATCCTTGATCTTAATAAAAAGCCCAAAAGGTGATGATAGAATAATGAATAACCATTCATATTCCGCATTTAAATGACTATAAAAAAAAAGATCTATCAAAGATGTTACTGAGTTACTGTCAGTCTGTTAGGTAGCTTATCTACCAGTCATTTTTAAATGTGTTGTACAAGAAGAGCACAGAAAAATTTAATCTGATCCCAATTTGAAATTTTAAGTAAATAAACCTTGGAAAAAATAAATTGAGGACCCACCAAATGTTCCGATAAAAATTAACAAAGCAATAAATGCATTATGCCTTATTGTTATTGTATTTATTTTTATTATTATTATAAAAACTGGTCTTATATATTGCAGTACCCCTAGGGCTAGGGCTAGGCTCACCGCGCTTCACATAAAAAGTAGCAAAAAAACATGACATTAAAAAACAGTTACATAAAATTTTTCATTAACAAAAGCTGTGCAAAAATATTGATCTCGTCCACCCAAGTACTATTTACCCCTGTCTGGCAATAGCAGGCACCCAGCAACATCGAGCATTGTTTACCGGTCTTAGGGGGTGAGAATGAGTAGGAATTTTAGAGTTTGAAGAGATGTGTCTTGAGTGCAATTTTGAAGGCTTGGATGGTCGGTATATTGCAGATGTGTAATGGGAGAGAATTCCATTGTTTGGGGGGCACAGAAAGAGAAAGATCTTCACTGCAAGTTTTAGTGTGTTTCTTAGGAACAGAAAGAACACATGTGTCTACAGAGGAATGAAGCTGTCAAGGGGTGAATAGACAAAAGTTCAGTATGATAGGTAGGGCAGGAACCATAGAAAAAGTTGTGACAGAGAACAGACAGCTTGTAATCAATGCGTACCCGTAAAGGAAGCCCATGAAGTATCTGACTTTTTTTCTTTCTGCAAATTGCCACATCTAGTTAAAATGTTTAACCAAAGCTACTATAAAATGAACAGCTAACAGCTATGACCTATGTGGAAAGAGATTATCAAGTGTTATTTTCCATTGCCTGACATCTCTTGGAGTGTAATTATATAATTGAATATTAAAAATTAAAATAAAATGATTAATATCATAGAATTTTTTTTTTTTTTTCAAGTATTCAAGTACATTTTTTCGAGTCTGTTGACTAGTTTCTGAGCCCAGAGGTTGTCAAGTATAGCAATAAATTAAATTCTTTTAACTGCTTTTACCAGTTGAAAAGATGGAAAGAAGCTTATTAAAAAAAATGCAAAAATACTGTAGTTTTTTGTTTAATATTTCTAATCTAGGTACTGGGAAGCCATAAAGAAATGGGATGAAGCTATTCAACTGACCCCATACAATGAAAAGATCTTTGAGATGAAAGCTCAGGTAGTATTAAAACATAAAAAGCAATTACTTGTTGATTTGTTAGCATTACTGTATCCTCTGCATTTCTGCTTTTAGTCATCAAAGACAAAAGTGGGAAAATGCAACAGAAAATTTAAAGTGGTTTGGAAGGCTTTACCTAAGACAAAATAAGACACTTAATATGTCAGCTTTAAGCCCTCTTCATCAGACAAAGCAAAATAAATACAAATAATGTATACTATAATGAGGAAAAAGTGCTCTACCATTCTAATGTACAAGTCTTTATTTTGTATTCTGCTTGCCAGAACTGTTTTTTTAAAGCAGTCTGAGACAAAGGGTATATCAAGTTAATTCAGAGATTAATTTTAAATATTCATTGTCAGGATCCAAATTAGTCGGATGCAAAGTATTTTTTAAAAAAATAATTTACTGAATTTTTTGGATACACATACATTCCGAAAACATTCAAGATGAATTTAATTTGAATGTCAGCGTCATTGAAATCAATCTAAAATATTTTTATAAATTTAAAAAAAAATGTATAAAAATTTTATCTCTTCTAGGCATTAATGGCTGTTGGTGAAGTCTTTCCAGCAATGCAGATGGCTGAGAAGACTGTGGTAATGGCACCAACATGGTGGGTTGGTCACCAGACCCTAGGCAGGGCACTGGCTAACATAGGCGAAGTGAGGCTGGTAAATACAGATTTTACTTGACACTTCTTATTTGATTGTTAACTTAATTGTGTGTATCTAATAGTTAATGTATAAGAGTCCAATGGCTTTAGAATGGATATAGAATTCAAATGGGAAAACAGCCTGCTGGAGTAAGCAAAGTTACCTTTAAGATAGGAATTTAAATTAACAGAAAAAAAGCCTACATCTAAAACTCAATATTTTGACATCTTTAAATGAAGATTTTTTTGTTTGGATTTTTTGGTTGCATTTAAAGTCAAACATTAACTCTTTGAAGCAGCATATTAAAGAAAAAAAAAGATGGAAGATAGGTTTTAAAATGCAAGCAAGAATTTTTTAAAGTGTTCATTTAACAGATCACTTAATCTACTGAAATTATTTGTAAACATGTGACTAACTATTAGCAGAGCTACAAAAATGTATAGAAGTTAGAAATGTAAATGCTCCCCCCCCCCGCCCCCCCCCCCNACCCCCCCTCCGTATTTGAACAACAGGCGCTAAAGAGTTTTTCCAGAGCCGTCCACCTCAACCCTGCTGACCAGGAAATGTGGACAGAGGATTTGTTATGGACAAAGTCATTGCTGGAAAGGAAAAAAATTGCAGCGGAACCTGAACAGGTCCCAAGAAGCACATTAACTGTGAGAGAACTGGAAGATGACTGTGACAGTACCAGTAGCACAAGCAGTGCTGTAACGGGGGAGCGGTCGGTGATGCCCTACAACGCTGGCTTGTTGACAAGCACAGAAAAAAGTTTTGGCAAAAATATCAAATGGTTGCCTAGCAACTATATACAAATGAGGGACCCAACATGATATGATATACAGCTTGGGTGATTTCTTTTGTTGTTGTAGCCACATATTGCCACTGCACTTTGAGATTATTTTCAACTCAGTGAAAGTGAATAAATGTCTCGTGATGTGTTAATGATGTTCAAGTTAACGTTCACTTCAGCGGCTGAGTTAAGCAAGTGCTAAAAAATACTGGATACCTGGTGCATGTGATCAGCTTATGTAAATAAATATAATTTTTGTATGACTTGGCATTCTGCTGTTCTATTCATTTTTATTACAAAAGAGTTAAAACACACAGTTTTGATATATCTTTCTGAATAATTAGAAAACAAGCAGACATTTTCATATGCTGATTAAACTGACTGGTAGCTCACTTATTAAGTCTTTTTTCCCTCAAGAACTTGTATACCATAACATCATATAAATAAATTCATCTCTTTAGAGGTCGAGTGTTATTCTCTTTGCTATCCAACTTTAGGTGGCTAACTTGAAGTTGAAGAGATTGGTTGTTATTTTCCTGGCCTATTCAACTCTAGCTGGTTAAACTTTAAGAGATCGAGTGTTATTCTCCTTGGTATCCAACTTTAGGTGGCTAACTTTAAGTGTGTTCCTTTGTGAGTGGAAGGTTGGGAACCAAATCCCCTGGACAACCTGACCAACTTCACTGCTAACGTGAAGACCAAATATTTCAACACTTGTGCGAAGATCAAATATTTCAACACTTGTGCAAAGATCAAATATTTCAACAATTGTGTGAAGACCAAATATTTCAACACTTGTGCTATGACGCCTGAAGAACAATGGACCAAAACTGAATTTGTGGAATTTATTTATATAACTTCCTCTAAGTGACCCATCATCACACACACATAATTTTTTTTCCCAAAACAGGGAAAGAAAGAAAAAATAAGGTATTGGTATAAAGTCACTGACAAAAAGTTTTCATTTTGACCACCATGTTTTAGGGAACACACACAAAAAATAAAAAAGAATAAAAAGTAGAAAATTATTTAATTTTTGAAAACTGATTTTCAATGAAGGTCATTTATTGCATGTCGGGCATGCAACCTGAGACCATAACCGATACCAGACGCATCAGTTCCATTGTCAATATGCTTATTAAATGATTAATTACTTTTTGCTCACGTTACATCATTTTGAAACTGCAACATTATGCAGAATGGAAATTAGAAAAGCTTTACCAGATTGCTGAAGTATATTTATAAGGTTGTGTTACCCAACACATTGAAAGAAACATTCCTTGGCCTTCTGGTTGAAATACAATGGAACTTTTTCAACAAACTTTATTTAACTATTTTAATTTTTTTTTAAAAGTCCTTTCATTTTAATTGTGAGCTGTTAATAGTATTAATTTTCAGGCAACTTTTATAATTTTAAGACTGAAAAGTAGATGTTTAGAGAGTGCAATGCAAGGTCACATAACAATAACAAATACCATTAATAATGAATATTAAAATAGTACTTGTTAGTTACTTGTTCATTTGATTTTTAGATTTTGTACCTAGTTTTTATCAAACAACTCAATGGCAAGAGGCACTTCAAACTTCACTGGAACTTTAGCTGGCACAATTGTTGATCATGGAATTGTACTCTTGATTTTAAATGCTCCCAGAAATGAAAGGGAGCAAAATGTGTGTTTAAAAAATAAAAGTAATCTTAAAATTTTAATAAAATAAAATTAACTCCCTTTGCATGTTGGGAGGGATCAATAATACTACGAGTTTATTCAAATACGGCACTGTGCGCGAAAAAATATACAATGCTGAATTAAAGAGATGAATAAAATATTACTTATTCAATAAGTTATTGTTATTTGCAAGTCAAGTTACTTTACTGCGAAAGAAAATAACATGCAGGTACGCTCTATCAGTTATAAACTGCTGATTTTATACCAAAAGTAAACTACCAAGCAAATTCAAGGTGATCAAAACCGAGTTGTCTGGCACTGGCGACTGTTGATAAATGTCCAATTAATATTAGTGAATGTGACTTTCGTACGGGGAACTACACATTCCTAAAAATAAACCCCCTCTCTCCAAGGTCAAAAAGGTTACAAAAGACACCATCTCTGCTCACATACAACATCCTCTATTCGTTACGGAAATGCATCTCCATGTCCAGTGGCATATCTAGAGTTTGTGCCGTGCGTGTGTAAGTGGGGTGGGGTGGGGTGGGGCTGGGAGCTTGGCAGAAATTACGAAATTTATTATTTTTTTTAAATGTAATAGCTCTGTGCAAATAATTACCCTGGAATTCCGAAAGTCCATAAATAACCTAATTATATCTGTAAATCGAATTCTGTAAAAATATCACGCGATGTTTGTAAAGTCATACTGTGGCTTTGTCTTTTCACAAGGGGCCGTCCATAAAGTACGTCACACTCCAGAGGGGGGGGGGAGGGGGTGTAAGAAAGTGTGACGGTTTGTGACTCNTGGGTTGTGGGCCCGGGGGGGGGGGGGGTCAGGCCATGTATGACGTCACACATTTATTTTAAAAAAATTTATTTCTAATTTATTATTTATGTTTTTTTGTAGAATTTAATAGCTTTAAAATAATTTTCAAAAATTTTGTGAAACATTTGAATTAGTTTTATGTCAAAATAGCATGAAATGCGTATCTCCTGAATGTGTTGTTCACGATTCCTCTCGCCAGGAGCGCTAGTATGCGGTTGCGAAGACTTGTTTCATGTATAGCCTTGCCGAGATCAACAGGAGTTTTCAAAGTACAACTATATGATCTTTATTGTCCATCTTTGCAGACCACCTAACTTGATCGAATTTGCAAATTATGTCACTTATAATTTGCCTCACAAAAAACAATGTCGAAGAAACATGCAGGACAACACAGAGCTCGGGCTCGGGAGAATGTGCCAACCCAAACTGTTCAGAATCAACTCAGATAAAACGCATCAGACCTTTGAGAATCGCTGCTAGAAGGCAAAGAGAACTCATGGCAGTTATTGCCGGAACAGAAAATTCACATTCAGAGGATGTTGAGTGACTATATGAGGTTTAAGTTGATCTGTCTGCAATTATCTTTCCAGGAAACGATGATGGTGAAAGATTGATGCCAGTCGTAACTTGGATGATGTCCAGTGAATATTTTTTTAATTAAACATAATTCATAGGCCCATAATAAACAGATTCAATATAGCACAAGAGTTTGTCACATAATTTGTCAATCTAGTCTTGTTTTAGTCAAATTGTTTTGTTTCCTTTTATTATTTAATCACTGGGTGAGGTCAAGTTTTGCTAATTTACTTCTTATCCTGTGTAAAAAGATTGCATAATCTGAAATTATCTGAAACTTGACCTCACCTTTTGTAAATGAAAAAGCAGCAGATAAATGATGTGTATTATATAGTTGTCTAGTCTAATTTTTTCAATTTTTGTTTTCAAATTCAATCTAGATAGAGTTACTGCTTCAATGAATAACTGTGACAACTATTGACCATTAACTATTCTACTAATAAAGTAATTTTAATAATGTGATAGTTCTTTTAAGTGGATATTTTATATTTTAATACAGTTTGATAGTGAAGTGTGTTTTAGATTAAATTTTAATTAGGTGTTAATTTAAAAAAAAATTTGTTCGAAAATGTGACGTACTTTAGGGGGGGGGGGGCTTCCAAGATTTGTGACAGGGGGGAGGGGGGTTAAAATGGTCAAAAAATAGCGTGACGTACTTTATGGACGGCCCCCAAGTGAACACGCTAGAATCACCCGGTTTGTTGTAAAATAATTAATAATAATATTTTACCCCTTAATACTTTTATAAAAAAAGATATTGTGCCTAAAAAAAATAAACGCCTTTTGCAAAATGTAAAGTTCAATATTTTAATTAATGCCACGTCTAAACAAAACAAAACGAAAAAAAATTTTTTTTTTAAAAATGGCGGAAGTCACTGATAGTTTAAAAAAAAAAGACTCCACCACCACCTATTTCGTTACAACCCCCCCCCCCCCCCAAAAAAAAAAAAGAAAAAAAAAATTTTTTTATAAAAAAGGGGGGAAGTCCACTATTGTTTAAAAAAAAAAACCCCCCCCCCCACCCTTTTCGTTCAACCCCCCCCCCCCCCCAAAAAAAAAAGTCTTCAGCTTTTCGCGTCAAAGACTAATGTTTCCCTGCCATTTGGACAAGATCGTAGAGTAGAGAAGTATCCATTCCCGCCAGGTTACAAAACCTTGGATAACTCGTGATCAGGGTTTCTTTCAGGTATATTTCCGGGGGGGGGGG